ATCTGCAATGTTAGGAGAAGCACACCTGTAGTGTTGAGATTGAAAGTGGTACCACTACAGTCAAGTTAGTGTTACATGCTGACACATATCATGCTTTGCCTATTCTGCTTCTCTGCGACATACGTTCTTAGCATTATGCCATCACTTTCAATAAATGGCCTGCACCAAAAGGTAATTAAAAGGTTGAAAAATTGGAATTATGGAGCTGAACTTGCATCCAGGATTTTCACAACCAAAGCTTTCACAGTGGATGTATGCCTCATTTGAAAGGTAACACTTCTGACATTACAGCAATGAAGTATCAGATTGAATTATGCAAACAAGTGTAGCAGCCTCCTGGCTGCTAAGACTGATAGATTGCTAACTTGTCCAAACAGCAAGGGATGCAGGGTATATTAGCCAAATAAAACTCAAATCACAAAACCCACACACCAGAAGGCACAAACACAGCAACCAGGTAATGATATTAGCATAAATGTTTAAAGGAAAAAGTCCATCTGAAAGCAGATTACACCACTGCTCTAAAGCCAGATGCTAGTCACTAAAGATAATGAAGATGGTTTGAATGATGGCACGTTGAAATTGTACATTTTACTGCCAACATGTTTGAATATCTGAGAATTAGCCGTTCAATACTCCACAACACTGTCGTCATGTGTCAAATCAAATAAAAGTCACCTTGTGTGTGATAGGAAGAAAAATCTACTGTCAAAGAAACTAGCATCGTTTTTCACACAAGGTGCGACAGGTGTCCAGAAGATGCCAGGGGTGCTGCAGGGAGAAACAATCGGGGCATTTAACAAGCTTTTAAATAAGCACATGAATATGCAAGGAATGGAAGAATATGGACCAAGGGCGGGCAGAAGGGATTAGTTTCATTTAGCATCGTGTTCGACACAACATTTTGGGCTGAAGGGCCTGTTGCTGCGCTGTACTGTTCTAGGTTCTACTTATTTCAGCAGTGCTAGTGGTGGAGGTGGGAAGAGGATGGAGTTCCCATCCTGAGTGCATACTCTGATCTGCAATGTTAGGAGAAGCGTACCTGGAGTGTTGAGATCGAAAGTGGTGCCACTGTAGTCAACTTTATGTTACACACTTGAAGAATGCGGTATTGTTTAAGGAGAATCTCGGATCCTGAATTCATTGCAAAAAGAAGCAAGACCATTTAAAACTGACTTACATTGTTTCATTATTTTGATTCAGAAAAGGGCAAAAATCAGAAACGTTATGAGAAAGGACAAGGTTATGGAACAAAGCAGTTTGAGGTCATAAGACATTAGTGACTGCAGTAGCATCACAGAAAAGTAGAAAGAAGTTTAAGCTCAAATCATGATATATAAATCTATGAAGCATTCATAAGCATATATTAATTATTAGCTCTAATAGTTATTATGAGGACTTGGTTGCAGAGTGACCAAAAGAACTGAAGGTCTAGTATATTTATCTTTGAAAGAGATGGATCAAATGACAAAGGGGCAGATGCCCTGATAAAGGATAGGAGGATGATGATGATAGAGAGAGAAAAGAACATAACTCAGAAAATCAGAATGCAAATCAGTTTGGATGGACCTATGAAGCACTACGTTTTGTACTGTTAGACATAGTATAAATCATTAAATGAGAGGTGCATGTAATAAAGTAATCATGAGAGACTTTAATCTTCATATAGACTGAACAAACTAAATCTGCAACAAGAGTGTACAGGACGAGTTCTTAATCGGTATGTTAATGATTAGGGAACATGCTATTTTAGATGTAACATTGTGTAATGAGACAAATGTTAGTTAACAGCCCTGTAGTAATGCACTTTTCAGGGAAAACTGACCATAATACCATAGAAACCAAAAAGAACTGTGGATGCTGTAAATCAGAAACAAACAACAGAAATTGCTGGAAAAGTTCAGCAGGTCTGGCAGAATCTGTGGAGAGAAATCAGAGTTAACGATTTCAGGTCCGGTGATCCTTCCTCAGAACATAGAATAATATCATAGAATTTTGTACTGAATTTGAGAGTGACTTAGTTCATTCTAAAACCAAGGTCTTAAATCTGTGATAGATGGATAAACTAAATTAAAACAAAAAAAATGGTAGATAAGCAATGGTGAACATTCAAAGAACAAATTCATAGTTCATGATGTATAAACATTACCTTTCAGAATGATAGGCCTATTACAAAAGTGGTCCAACTGCGGCCCACAAGAGTAGTTAAAGATTGCAATATATTAAATAAGCTGACATATAATATTGTAAAAGTGCCCAAAGATTGAAGAATTCTTCAATTCACCAGAGGATAACCAAGAAATTGATAAAGAAAAAAAAATGATACATTTTGAGAATGAAATTGCCAGAGATATTAAATTGGATTGTAAATTCTTCTATACGTATTGAGAAAAAGAACAAGTTGGCAAAAGTGGGGTTTAGTACCTTAGAGTTAAGAAATAGATATTATAATGGGAAATAATGAAATAGCTGAGACATTGAACAAATGCTTTCTATCTGTCCTCATACAAAAATATTTTGGAACCAAGATTTTACTGAGAATGAGGAGCTTGAAGAAATTAGTATTTGTTCAGAAATTGCATTGGTGAAATTAATAGAACAAAATGTTCCTGGAACAGACGGTCTACGTCAAAGGACTTTAAAAAGACAAGGCTACTGGGATATTAGATGAATTATTTTTAACCTGACAGAATTCCCTAGATTCTAGAAAGGTCCTGAAAAAGTTAGTGGCATTGACAAAACCATTAAGAGTAATTCTTTTGAGGTTATATGCAAGGACAAGTGAATAAAGAGAAACAATAGATGCATTTGAATATTCAAATATGATGCAACAAGATAAACACAAAGGATCATTCAAAGCCCTCCACTGGCATAGTAGTGATGGGGAGTTTTAGAAAAGGTAGGAAGGTGGAAGGTAGGGACCACTTGGCTTTCTGTTTTCATCCAAATTAATTCCGTGGTGGGAAGAGCCATGGATGGCCTAAAATCCTTGATCAAAGGGAAGGCTCCCTGCTATCCAGTTAAATGCCTAATGCCTAACACTTAATGCAGCAGATTTCCCTTAAACAGGCTATAGGAGACTCTCAAATTCCTTAGCCAGTGGGCGAGACCACTATCATCACCATTAAATGCAACTCTAGAGGTGATTCCACAAAAGGGCCTTTGGGCTACCAAGGATTAAGGATTAGTTGAAAGACTGTAAACAGTTGGAATAACAAATAAAAACACAATATGCTGAAATATTCGAGATACCAAGGTGTAGAGCTGGATGAACACAGCAGGCCAAGCACCAGAGGAGCAGGAAGGCTGACGTTTCGGGCCTAGACCCTTCTTCAGAAAAAAAGATATGCTGAAATATTCAACAGTTCTGGCTGCATTTCGGAAAGGAAGAGATAAAGTTTCAGGTCTGAAGAAAAGTCAGTGGACTTAAATCATTAACTCTGTTTCTCTCTCCACAGAGATGACATACCTGCTGAGTTTCCCCAGTACTTTTTTGTTCAATTAAAGTCTCATTGGTCCTTGGTCAGACCTGCATGTTATTCAAGACCTAAATGTTTAATCTAGGGAAGGGTTGGGCTGAGGGGAAGGTCTGTGTTCGGTTGGAAGACAGGAGACATTAAGTGACAAAAGAAATTATAGTATGTTGCCAAAGAGAGTAGTAATGGGACAAAGAGAGAAATACACAAGTGTCCAGAGGAGATGTGAATGATGGAATGGTGGACAACTGCCATTGTAAAGCAAATAAATTGAAATTGGTGAACTGAATGTTGAACCTGGAAGGCTACCAAGTGCCCATTTGGAACACAATGTGTTGTTTCTCAGCTTCACTGAAAAACTGCAGGGAGCAAAAGGTAATAAATCAGCAAGGAAGAATTAAAATATCTGCGACTAGAAGCTCGGTGTCATGTTTGCAGTACGAACAGAGATTTTTCAACAAAGGAGGTCACTCAATATGTATTTGGTCTCCTCAATGTAGAGCAGACTGTAATGCGAACAGTGAATATAATATATTAAATTGAAAGAAGAACAATAAGAAGTCACTACTGTGACTAGGCCGAGTGTTTGGGGAATTGGAAGGGAGGGAAGATATAAAAAATTCAAAGCGTTACATCTCCACTGCTTGCATGGTAACATGCCTTAGGAAGAAAGAGGGTTGGTAAGAGTGATTTAGAGTGGACTAGGTATCACGAAGAGAATAGGCCAATCTAAATGCTGAAAGCTAACAGGAACGGAAGATATATTTGATGGTGGTGTCATAATGGAGATGGTGGAGTATGATCCATTAAATACAGAAACAGGTCAAATGGAAGAAGAGGAGTTGAGGAATACTGTCACTATTCTTGGAAGAGGTGGAACTGCAAGAATGAAAGCTCAGAAAATGGGACAGACGTGGTTAAGAACCTTGCCAACCACGATAGGGAGAATTCTCAGTTCAGGATTTAGGAAAAGATACCAGAATCACTAATATGGAAGACTGTAGTATTAGAACTGATGCAACAGAGATGGACAAACTAGGAGAATGGAATGGCACCCTCAGGAGGCAGGGTTTGAGGAAAGTACATTCAAGGTGGCTGTGGGATCTAGTGGGTTTATTGCGCATATTCATTGACATCCTATGTACAAAATTGAGACAGCCTGATTATATAATTTAATGTAGTGTAACAGATGCATATAAAAACATTAATTCCTGCAAGTTCCCCTCCAAGTCACACATCATCCTGACTTGGAGACATATTGACACTGGGTTAAAACCTTGGAGCTTGCTACCATAAAGGACTGTGCGCGTATCATAGACCACCTTAATTCAAGACAGTAGCTTACCACAATGTTGTCAAGAGCAATAATAACAAAAAGTAATAAATGCTGCCTTTCACAGGGAAGCTCACATTTCATGAACAAATTAAGGTGACTGGGACTAAATTCAAAACATTCTGGGATGAACCAGTAATAATTCAGCGTTCAACTGAGCTACCACTGTTGCTTGACACCATAATACTCACCAGTTGACAATTTTTTGCTATGCTGGACAGCTTGCTGTGCGTTTTGTTGCAGAATGTTCAAGCATTCACCAAGGCAGCTCATGGTAGCAGCTGAGGTAGCTTTCAAAAGCAGTAAATCTTGATCCAATGCAGATAGAGGTCCGCAAGGTGGGAGAGATTCTATTGAATGCACAAGACTCTTTTGCTGTCCTTCTGCCTGACTCATCATCTATTAAAAATAAAAATTAATGATATAGTGAATTTATAAGGAACATGCACTGGTGAAGCTAAGACACAAAATTTATTACAATCCGAAATAAACAAAATTTCCCCAATAATTCTTTCTCTTCCAACAGCAACACACAAAATTAAGTTTTCAATAAAAGAGCAAAAATGAAGAAAATCCCAAATTTCTCTTGAAGTAACCAGTAAGGATTGTAGTCATACTAAACTAAAGTCATAACTGAGTAAAATCAAGTATTCCAAAACCTTGATCGCTGAAAGGTTAGTACGTCAAATACTGTATAAATTTGTTTTTACTGATTCTGGTATGAGAAAATGTTAATAAATTTGATGTAGCAAGATCAAAATAATGATAGTTTAAAAGCAATGAATAAATCTTTTAACATGCTAAGGGTTACTGTTATAGCATTTAAGTTATAGTCATTATACTAAAATTTCGGGTAACATTGCTAAAGTGGCCTGGATCTCTATTTAATTATGGCATCATAGAATCCCTACAGTGTGGAAACAGGCCCTTCGGCACAACAAGTCCACACCGACCCTGAGAGCATCCCACCCAGACCCATGCCCCTATAACCCACACACCCCTGAACACTACAGGCAATTTAGCATGGCCAATCCACCTAACCTGCACATCTTTGTACTGTGGGAAGAAACCGGAGGAAACCCACGCAGACACGGGGAGAATGTGCAAACTACACACAGGCAGTCGCCCGAGGGTGGAATTGAACCCGGGTCCCTGGTGCTGAGAGGCAGCAATGCTAACCACTGAGTCACCGTGCCGCCCCCAAAAAAGCTTCGCTGGCCCATATGGGGAACGAGCCCGCAGCCATGGCATTATCAGCATATTGTTTGATCATTTCTACTTTCTTGAAGATTAAAATTGAGATTATTCTGGGACTAAACAAAAGGCTGTTTCCAATGAAGGCATTCCATGCAGTAATAACCTGTGTGGGAAATATCACAGAGGAGTGTACCGCTTAGAAATGTTGATGTCAATGGCATCACAATATAGGTACATTGTCAATTGACAATCTTCATTCCTATGCAGAATCAAACCACTTTCCTACTTCCAACATGTGAAATTATTTTAATGAATCTATTAAACAAATATAACTGATGGATTTTCTTCGCAATGAGAAGTCTGTGAAAGTCTCGATTTATATATTATGAAGTGTCTTGCCTCTCAAAATGGGATACAGTCACACTTCACAATCAGCTGCTATAAACAAAATGGTGACAAGCATGTATACATTTGGGTGGTGTGTTTCACAAATTTTCATTTTTATCCCTGTCCCTAACCTGCTCTCAGCCATTTTGATGACGGTGGTACTGTCAACATTAATAAATAAATGTAACAGCGATGAAAGGATTTAAAATTTTTAAGTTGCTCCAAATTCAGAAAGATGACCAAAGCACAGGAATACAAGGAGCTTTGCATGTGAAGAATATTATTATAGTACATAATGTACAGAATGGAAACAGGTTACTTGGTTCATGACAGTGTTTGTGTTCTACACAAGTCTCCTTGCACCCCATTTCATCTAAACTCAAAAATTGTACAGGATGTTAGTGAGTTGATCCTGGAGTACCGAGTGCAGTTTTGGTCTCCTTATCAAAGGAAGGAAATTCTGACTACAGAAGCAGTGCAACAAGGAACTGATACCTAGGATGGCAGGACTGATGTATGAAGAGAGAATGAATCAGTTATGACTATATTCATTGAAGTTTCAAAGAATGAGGCGGGTATCTCATAGAAACCTAAAAAATCTTAACAGGATTAGACATGGGGAACATAGGAAATATATTCCCAATGACTGAGGAGTCCAGAACCAAGGGTCATAGTCTGAAGATACAGGTTAGAGCATGTAGGGCTGGGAAGCCCAGAGAGTAGTCTGCCTGTGGAATTCTCTGCCACAGAAAGAGATTAAGGCCAAAACGTTGAATATTTCCAAGAGGAGACAGATATAGTCCAAAGGATCAAAGGGAATGGGGAGAAAGCAGGAAAACTATGCCAACTTGGATTATCAGTCATGACCATAGTGAATGATGCAGCAGGCTCAAAAGGTCAGAAGAGCTGACTGCTGCTGATGGCTCATAATTGCTCACGTGTAGCTCGAGCCTATTTACTTGTAATAAATTGTCATTTTTGTCAAGTACAGAAAACTGGGTCTGAATGTCAGGTAAATTGGGGAATTTTGTCTATTTTTAAAAATCTTTATAATTTGAGATGACTGGGAATTGTGGGACCTACTTCCAGCACACTACCCTAGTGAAGCATAACAATTGAGTTAAAGTTCCAAGAATATGTTGCAAAAACAGCCAAGGAGATATTCAAGATCACTTTTACTGCAATATGGAAATCCATTCACATCTTGATCATCAAGTTTTTCTTCTAAACCTTGAGCCACCATCAACATTAGCCTTATATGTCACATGAAAGAACAACACTTCTCTGTGCGCATCCATGTCTAGGATAAGACTGGCTGTTCTCTATCCAGTACATCAATGTGTACACCAAATTCTTTACAGCTCGTAACCACTTTTGTTTGGCATACTTTATCTTATCTTCTAATTTGTTTGCAGCCATTCTCGATCATAAGGGTTTTAAACTCGCACGGTAACCACACACTGTTCCATATTCCTTGTTCAGGTCAAGCTACAATCTCTACTCACCCCATTACGTTCTGAATCATTGTAAGATTCCCCCCGTCCCACCATTAATGCTGTCCTCTGAATTTCTTTCACAGCTTTATGGTCTTTTCCTGGGGTCACATTCACTTCCAGGTCCCCTTCCCATGATGCATATTGCACTTTCTGGTCTTCCATATTAATTATCTTATTTTGCCAATCCATAGGTCTAGGGTCCTGTCCCTCAAAATGCACATTTAGCCAATGTTTGTATTTGCTGGTGGCTTTCCCTAATCTCTTAGCACATAGGCATGAAGGAATTCTTTCATTCACTAGATCCTCCTGGTATTTAAGTTACTTTAGCACCAACCTTGGGTTGCTGTCTTCTGGGGAAAACAGTCTTGCCTGCACCTCTATTACTTTGCTCACATTCAAATCAGTTCCTCATAATTTCCAACATACGTATACGCAAATTGCATCATGCCTCTATGACTTGTTCAAATTCTGTAAGTGTTGTAATCAATGTCAATTAACCTTGAGGAATGCACCCTAACAGTTTATTTGCCATGCTGTAAAGTTATTATTTTTCTACTCTACCTCTAACCTTACTTGCATATTTCCACACTTTCTGCTCTTCTCTTTTGCAATACACCATGTCTCCTTGATTAAAATTTATTTATGATAGTTTCAGTTGGACCGAAATGTCTGTTTCTATGCTGTATGACTCTATGACTTTATACAATGTTGTAAGACTCACCAAATTTTCTCTACGTTTTTGCATTGATGCCTAGATACAGGCTGAAGTTGGTCGTTCCTGCTAAATTTAAGCCATGCATGACGCTGGGAATGAATGTTTTCCCAGGAATATTTTTAAGGATTTCTGAGATCTATTCCTAAAACATCTTTTTCTTCTGAAAATCTAACTCCAGTACATACTAGGAGTCTATTTTTGACACCTTAGCCAAAAATAAAACATGAGTTCAGTGCAAGCTGCATTGGGTTTTCTGGAGGATTTTCGCCACAAGGTCCAACATGTTTTCTCTTCAAATCTCAATAAACTTACCTCATTAAGTACCTGCCCCAGCACTATAGTATCCACCGTGTCAGGTTCCAGCCCATCGTACTATGGAATGCTCCCAGAACAGCAGACCGCTCAGCAGATATCTGCCAAAAGACCAGCAAACACTTGCAGCTGTGCCATCTTATGTGCAACAGACAGGCACTGATATTCTGAAGCTGCCTTGGTCAGTCAAGGACATTTCCAGAAGGTGTCAGAGAAGAGGAAGGTGACACTGTGACTCTCCAAGAAAGACCTGGAGGTTCTGGTCAAGGGGATGGTGTAAAGGAGAGGAGTCCTTTTCCTGAAGGACCAGCACAGAAACAGACCCTGGCGGCCATGACACCAGACCCTGGCGGCCAAGTCCAAAGTCGCCACCCAGGTTAGTGCTGTCTCAATGATCCAGAGAAATGACCACCTGCATTGGAAAGTGGTCAGTGACTATGCCACACCAGGTTAAGTCAAGTCCCACACTCCACTCTGATCACACACTTTTGCTGCTGCTGCTACTGCACCTTCCTCAACCAAAACTAATGCTCTGCCACACTCACCAAAGCCTGCAATATTTTCCCTCACCCTGTCACATCCTCATCTACTGCACCACTAACTCTGCATGTCCTCTGTGCAGCTACTCAGTCATGAAAGTGACCTCACCACCTTTTGTCCACTGCACCAGAATTAACAGCTGTGTCACCACTTTGATATCACCCAATTCCTCCCTCTCTTTACAGGAGACCACCAACAGGGCAGACAGCATCTGTAAAGATGCAGGGGTTTTCAACATTAGACTTATCACCCCATACAAGAGAATAATCTTGGCCCTCACAGGAACTGCTCCTGTAGAAATGCTGAAATGTCACTGTCTTGCTGACCAAGTGAGAACCACTCTTCATTCTAATAAAACTCTCACATCAGCCCCACTGTCAGCGTCACCCATTGCACACCACTTCTAACCACTGACCACAATGCCTTCATTGTCTTTTGTGTTGCAAGTACTGCCAGTGCATCCACCATTGTGTAGCAAAACAGCTGACTCTGCCAGAAACCATCTGCTTGATCACTAAGGACCAAAGTACCAAGACCACAGAGGAAGCAATACATCCCCCCATCTGTGATACCTTGGTGGGAATATTAAGCCTAAATGGCGTGGGATCACAATGTAGAGAGCATCTCACTGCAACAGCTTCGTAGATGATAGAGGAAGAGACACTCCAGGACACTGGCACTCAGAGGTACTCAGCCTCAGGCAGAAGACCCTGTATTAAAAGCAATCAGGGACTTTGTCCACATGCACAGGGAGAAACAAAAGTGGCAGGCAAGTATGTGGAATGTAATGGACCTTATTCCCCAGAAGCTGCAGCAATGGAGTGAGTCATGCAACGAACTGGCTACCAACGCGGACACTAACGCCTGCCATGGACAGCAAGGCCCAACATTCTCAAAGGCTGCTGGAGAGGCACACGGCTGCATCCCAGCTATTGGTCCCGAAGACCAAATGCACGGTGCCAAGTTGTCATGAAACCAGGCGTGCACTGCAGGTGGCATACCCTCAAGACAACAGGGCTGTGCCAGAAGGCACCTACCTGGAGGAGGAATCACAAAACAACCCCATCCGAAGTCTCCACTCACAACACTCCAGAAGTGGTTGGGCCTTCCACCTCCAACTTCCCTGCCCCCTTGGACTCTTGAGGGTTCAAGCTGAGAAGGGTCAATTTGCTTCTGTCAAAAAGATCCTCAGCGTGTCTGGCTCATCCAGACACAAGTGCCTCCAGGGTTGCCCAACCAAACTCCTAAGGCCAATAGGCTCCACTGCCGAGCAAGCCATCTCTACAGCAGCTGCAGACACAGAGTGTACATTAAGGTGTGTCGGAATGATAGGAAGACAAAACAACTTGCTGAGGACATGATATTAGCATTGGGTGACATTGCACTGTATATTATTTGGCAATTTTTCTAGTTGTCCTTCTGCCTCTAAAATACAGCCCAACAAATTAAAGGTAAGCACTGAATTAAGAATCCCAATGTAGAATTTTTGTGAAATTGTGTATAGCCTATTAAATTCTATTATATATTCTTCTGTTGAATGTCCAACCTGCTTTCTAAATTTATCAAAGTCTGACCATGCATTTTATTCGTAAATTTGAATAGAATTTCTAAACCTTTCTCAGTATTGAATTGTGGAGCCTTCGTCCTCTGAACATTTTATGTCTGATCTCATTTCTAATAGGAAGCAAAACTGCCAAGGCCATACCCTGCTTTCTTTTCTCCATAAAGATATAGCCCATGTCCACATACCCACTTCACTTTTCCATCAATTCTTAAGTGTCAGCTTCACAAAACATTAGTAAGAGGTCATACTCTAACAGTTTCCACTTGGTTTCAGCTATTCTTTTCTCAAAAAAAAAAAGACTCCAATTATATTTTGTCTGAAAATAACTTTTAGTTTCTAATCTTCACATTTAGGCAATCATCCTCTGCTACCAAAGTCAATTTGGATCCAAACAGGCCACCATTGTGAATATATTTATTAACTACTCAGTCTTTCACTTCTTCCATACATCAGCCCCACCTGTTCTACCATTACATCAACAACCCCAATCACCTACTTAACTACTCGCGATATTAACAGAGCCTCACATCAAATCTTGTGGAACATGATATTCTATCTTTTTGCTATCCAACTAACTTATTCTCTGCTTTGTTTGCCATCATCTTGCAGGTGGTGGTGTTCCCATATCCTGAATGCCTGAGCTTTTCTAGGGAATGGAGGTCATGGGTTTGAAGGTATTATCGAAGCAGCATTGGCATCTTGTAGATGGTACACACTGCTCTCACCGTGCATTGGTGGGGGAGGAAGTGAAGGTTTCAAACCAGTGAATGGGATGCTGCTTTGCCCTGGATAGTGTCAGGCCTGTTGCACTCAGCCAAGGCAAGTGGACAATATTCCAACATACTCCTGTCTTGTACTTTGTATATCATGGATAAGATGTGTGTCAGGAGGTGACCTATTCACTGTAGCATTCTGAGCCTCTGACCTATTCTTGTAGCAGAAGTTATTTATACAGCAGATCCAGTTCAGTTTCTGGTCAACAGTAACTCCCTGCATATTAATCATTGAGGAATCACTTATGATAATGCCATTGAACGACATGGGGAAACGATTAGATTTTCTTGTGAGCAGTGACCATTGTCTGGCATTTCTGCAGTATGCATGTTACTTACAATTCATTCACCCAAGCTGACGAGTCTTATTGCATCCAGGCACAGACTGCTTTAGTGACTGAGAAGTAATGAATGGTACTGAATAATACATGTCTGACTTTCACATCGGACAGAATAATCAAAGATGAATCAGTTGAAGATGGTCGAGCCTAGAACACTACTCAGAGGAACAGTAATAGGGATATTCTGGAGCTCAAATAAAAAGCAAAAAATTGTTCCATCTAAAATGATCTATGCATTAGCCCAAACATCCCAATCTTCATCATTCTATGGTAGTTCTCAAACTTACCTCTTTAACATCTAAAAGACGGCCTGGACACTGATTCTTTGCACGTCGGGTGGTTGCGGGAGACTTGTGATGTGTGATAGTGATAATTCCTGGCCCACTGTGTGTCAGGTGCTTCTGGCTACCAAGAGATGCTGGGTTTGATATCCCAGGAGGAAGTAAAGATAAACTTCTAGCTCTTATTGAAGGAGTACTCTAAAATAAATAAAAATAAATTTATAAGCAAGTAATTTACTTAATGCAGAGTTAATTTGATTCAGTCTTATCAAACAAACTTTGCCAGCCAAAATGCCACTGTCGATGCACAAACACTCAGAGCAAATGTTAAACACAGAATAAACCTCCGTCTACATTATCCTATCATACATTCCCAAGACAGATCCAACATGAACGAATCTGATTCAGAGTAACACTTCCTCAGCACTCCTATCAAAGTTTAGAAAAGGCACCATTGTCTAATTTCTGGATAATCCCAAATCTCTCATGATCAGTTCAACTGCACTGAGATCAACCAAACTTGTTTATAGAGCTGGTAACGCTCTCACACCAAATGTTCATGCAATAAGATGGCATAATGGAGGCTGAGATTCCTCTAAAAATGCATTTTTTACCCTGGATTGTAGACTTTTTAAACTCCAGAGGCAAGATCATATAGAACCATTTGACAGACCAAGATCTGGAAAGTGGGATTAGGCAAAGTAGTTCATTCCTATCCAGCACAGAGACAACGGGTCAAATGAGTCAACATTTGGGATTCTGTAAGCCTTCACTCTGTTGCTACATGACAATATGTACACATGCACGCACTTCGTACTAGCAAGTGCTGGGTAGCAATAAAAAATAGGAAGCTCTACTGATCTTTCCTCACCCCAATTTGGGAGCTCAGTACCATACCACAAGCAACATCAGCTAATTCAGGCTCTTGGAAACAGAAAATAGAACGAGTAAGCCATTACATATCAAGCCTGCTCCATCATTCAATACGATCATGGCTGATCATGCAACTCAGTAGACTGTTTCCGCTTTCTCTCCTTTAAATTTTGATTCCTTTAACCCCAAGAACATCTCTCTCCTTCCTGAAAACTTTGTGGCAGAGAATCCCACATGCTCACCACTCTCGGTGAGAAAAATTTCTCATCTTAGGTCCAAAGCTCAAAAAGCATTTGTCAAGCATGGTTTCCCTTTTGTAAATACATTCTGATTCCATCGGATCCTGTCACTGTTCTTCCAAGTACTCTGCTATCAGATGGTTCATACTTAGTATTTCCCCACTACTGATGTCAGACTTTGTGCTCTCAGTGAGGTTAGTTCTACACCTGACAGTCAGTAAACTGCATGCACAAAGGGGTATGAAAGCTGATCCCTTCCTGTTCCTTGCTCCTTGGCAATGTGTAGAGACCTGATAACATTTCAAATAAAGAATCCAATAAGGTTAGAATTTTGGACGGACTAAGGGAAAAAATTAGCCTTTATGCTTTAAAAACAATCCTGTTCTTTCTGTTCCTCGTGAGAAAAAATACAGTAGATATTTCAAGGCTGACATTCGGTTTTCAGGACAGCAGTGGATTAGAGCTTCCGGCTGCAGTACTCAGCTCTGTGGTCAGGCTGTGTTCAGTATATTTCACTCTCGTCCCTCGGTCTCAAGTGCATTGACTTGAGTGCCACTGCAGAGTCATAAACCAAGCAAACATGGATTGTGGGTCACGAGCTTTCAGTATTGGTGGCGACGGAGAGACAGCGAGGTAGAATGTAGAGGAGAGACAGAAAGGTGGGGATTGGAGCGCGACAGAGAGAGACCGAGAGCGGGGAAGAGATTGTGGGCAGACCGCGAGAGAGAGAAAAAGCGAGAGAGCGAGAGAAAAGAGAAAAAGCGAGAGAGCACGCGTGAGAGAGAGAGAGCGCGCGTGAGAAAGAGAGAAAGCGAGAGAGAGCGAGAGCGCACGAAGCGGCGAGCAAAACAGCGAGGGGGCGCGTGAGAAAGAGAGAGGGCCAGAGAGAAGGTGAGAGAGAGAAAGAACTGATCCGACAGCGCGAGAGGGAGAGCGCGAGGGAGAAAGGAAGAAAGAGAGGGAGAGAAAGAAAGAAGGGGAGAGAGAGATAGAGAGAGAGAAAGAAAGAAGGGGGGGAAGAGAGAGAGAGATTTCATTGGATTAATATGTCTATGTAAATCCCTGTACACACACAGCCTCTCACCCATGCTCAGACACATGAATCTATGTGGTGAATTTGTATGTGCAGATACATTCTGTTTTGTTCCACAACCACAGTTTTTGGTCGGTCGGCCAGTGTGGCATTTTATAAATTCCTACTTTAGAAATAAAACCAAACTAAAACATAAACAGACTCCAATCAAGGTCTCACACCCAACATGCATTGCCTGACCTGAAGTGTCACCTTTTCAATATACTGCTAAAACCTTTATTTCTCTCAGTGACGACAAAAGGAATTCAGGGATTTACATATACAATCATTTAAAATGTTCTAACTAATTAATGATTTAATAGCATTTTAGGTTTGTTTAGTTCATCCTTAGAGGTGTGACCCTTTGATCTTTTACTTATAAATTCTGAATTTGATACTACCTCTCGAACACCCAAAGGAGTAAGACTCCAAAAGTGTGTGTTTTCAAACAAACTTGTTGGACTATAACCTAATGTCATGCGATTTCTGACCTCTGTCCACCCCCAGTCAAACACCGGGACCTCCATATCACAGGTAATTTTGAAATTTATTAAAGGATTTTTTTAAAAAAGAATCTAGCCTTCTGCTGCACAGGTTCCATTCATCTATTAGACAGTAGTTTTCCAATTAGGAATACTCTTGTATCTTGGCATTTTTTGAACAAAAACAAAAACAGCACACGGGAGGATAACTAAAGTAATGACACAGGAGGTACACAACATCCACCTGTCAGAACTTCCACTCAAACTCAAATGCTTTTAGTCATATTCTTGATCAACATTCACTTGCCAAAAGAATACCCCTCCTCCTCCTCACTCCCACATCTGGCAAAGCTAACCCATTCTACTAAATGTGAGCAAATGTCCATGGTACTTTACTACAAGTTGCCCCCTCAGCATCAAACAAACAAAATTACCCTTGGTAGAAATGAAAAATGTCACTCCCAAAATGAGATTCATATCATCAGATACAAATGTTATTCAAAAAGACTACCTTTAATCAACTATTGCACACTTTGGCCAATGAGAAAAAGGTATAATATTAACTTTTTAGCTGAAAAAAATCAAATGATTATTACGCAGGTTTACATGTTGTGGTTATTTTTTGCATTGCTGGAGACCTAACTATTACAGTTTTATAACATTTGATGCTAGGCACTAAGTACTGATCTGTTATCAAAAAGGAAAACCCTTAGTTTAAGTGTCACCTATTTGATTTATTAAGTGAGGGGAAACATTTAAAAGATGATAAAATTAATCAAATATTAAAGTAAATCTCAAATATTTTCACTGGCAAATTGTCCTTTGTAGTTCTGAAGTAACACAAGCGCTCAGGAATTCTTTAATTGCACTGATAGATCATGTAACATTTATTTCACTAGTACATATTTTAAGAGCTGTGAACCAACTTAGTACAAGATTGAAGATACAACCAAGTTGCATTATATGTTGTTGGTCAGTCATGTGGTTTAAAAGTTTTTTTTTTTTATAAAAACTTTGACCACAAAAAATACCAATCGACATGAGACATCATTTAACGAAAAGAGAATTAGGTATTGTTTGCAGGTTATTTTCAGGAATTAGGAAATCAATGAATAAATCAAACTTTCTTTGAAACAGGACTATTATAGCTGTAAATGTTAGCAATGTACATTCCATTGCAGTATAGCAATTAATACTTCAATTTCGCAACCCTTCACCTTGGTATTATTTTCTGTGTGGTGCTTGGCAGAAGCCTGAAGTTGGTTCACCCAGTAGAGTCGCTCTTTGGCATCCCCTGCTGCAGAGGAGAAAGCAGACATACATTTTAAATCAGAATAGACACATGGTCCCTCATTTGTGAAACAAATGAGTTTAAGGAAACAGAAGAAGGAACAAAATGTCACATGTACTGTCTAAGAAAATTAGACAGGACAAGTAACCTAACTGAAACTAACCAATATAATCAGATTTGCAATGTAACCTCAGATCTGAAGTATCAAAACTAAAAATCAAAAAGTCTAAACAGCACAACTCATTTCTCAAATTTAGCAGAAGTATATGTATTAATAGCTAAGGGACCAGCTACTTGGTGTAACAATGCTAGTTAGTCTAGTGCAATAACAATCATCCAATTATACCTGGAATTATTTTTGTTAAATTATTCACGACTTAAGTTTTCCTTACAAGTCTCGTCAAACTTGGAGTTACCACTTTCAGCATTTTTTTTAAAGATTGGGTTATAATAGCAGCCATTAATTATTTAATTAATTAATTATAATTAATGCATCCTTTAAAACTTACAAAGTCACACCTTGAAGAGGGTTGTCCTTTATCTCTTTCTTTCTAGACGATAAAGTTTAAGGTACTCTGATTCAACACAAAATAAAAACAGAAAATGTCTGCAACCTGAAATGTGGATTGTGTTTCTCTCTCCATAAATGCTACCTGATCCTCCTGAGAATTTCCAGCATCTACAATGGTGGGCTTTGTATCAAGTTTCCTCAGGTATCCCTCTGTTCATTTTCTTTTCACAAGGAATGGCACTCTCACTCTTTTCTGCATCCTTTCCAGTGCAAGTATGGAATTATGGACCAAACTGAACACATTTCGAACAAGTGAAAGCTAGACATAAATAAGGGAAATAAAGGGACGCCTGATAAGTGGGAAAGCTTTCAAGTGTGATAACCAGAGTTCAGAGTAATTATGTTCCTGTTAGAGTGAAAGGTAAGGCTAGTAGGATTAGAGAACTATGGATCAAATAAGATATTGAGCTTCCAGTCAAGAATCAAAAAGCATCAAATATTAGATATAAACAACTGGGTTCAAATGAATCTCTTGAACAGTATTAAAGTGTGTAAGGGCATTCCTTAGAGGGAAATCCGAACGGCAAAGGCAAAGGCAATGAGATAACCTTACTTGCTAAGACTAAGGATAATTCAAAGAGATTCTACGTGTACATTAAGGGCAACTGGAGAGAGTAGGGCCGCTTAAAGATCAAAAAGGTTGTCCTTGTGTTGATCCTCAAGAGATGGGACCGAAATGAATACTTCATGTCAGTTTTTTTTTTAAAAACAGAAAGAAATAGAGGCTAGAGAACTTGGAAATAAATAAATATCGCTGTTTTGAACACAGTTCACGTTACAGAAGAGGAAGTGCTGGAGGTCTTAGAAAACAAAGATGGATAAATGTCCATCTAGTGATCTAGTGTATCCCAGAACTTTGTGGGAAGTTAGGGAGGAAACTGCGGGGCTCCTTGCAAAAATACAGGCGAGCTGCCAAATGACTAGAGATGTTGTGGCTTTGTTTAAAAAGGGATGTTAGGAGAAACCTGGGAACTATTGACCTGTGAGTCTGACTTCGGTAGTGGGTAAATTGTGGGAAGTGATTCTGAAAGACAGGATTTATGCGCATTTGGAGAGGCAAGGAACGATTAGGAGTTGGCAGGATTGCAGATTTGAGATTACAATCAGATCAGCCATGACCTTACTGTATTTATTTCTGCTCCTCCATGCAAAGTGCTGGAGAAACTCAAAAGGTATAGCAGGATCAGTGGAGAGAGAGAGAGAAAGAGAGGTAACATTTCAGATACAGCATCACTTTACTTTGGAAATCAAAATAGCTGAGTAGCCTACTATTTCCCTCGATTCATATATTTGTATGTATGTACATTCAAAGTTCTGCCCACCTGACGCATCTGTAAAACCTTAGAATGTCTCATGAAGATTCGCAGGCCTAAAAATTTTAATCCCACATTCACAGATGAATATTTAAACATATTTCATGGAATCAAGAATCATAGAATCCCTACAGTGCAGAAAAAGGCCATTCAAACAGCATCACACCCAGGACCACCCTCCTACCCCCACACCATCCCCATAACCCCACATGGAGTTTATACCATGGCTAACACACCTAACATTCCTATGACACTCTTTTGTCTTGGCTTTTTAATTGTAATAGGTGCATTCATGCTTTCTCTCTGATAATACTTTCTTCATTTTTTCCTTTGGATAAGGGCACCATTGGCCAGACCACCATCTGTTGCCCATTCCTAATTACCCTTGAATTGAATGGCTTGTGCAATCACTTTATAGGTCAGTGAAGAGTTAACAACATTGCTATGGGTCTGTAGTCACATGTAGATAAAGTGAGACATTGCTGAGAAGGACAAAAATTCATATGGTTAGCTGGAGGTGATTACAATTTGTGTATTGCTGTGAAGCAGCAGGATTAATGTTTATTTGATATTTTACACCTGAGAAAATATTTGGAATCCATTCAATCAATCTTTAGTTGTCACATTTTCAAATGGAAACTCTAGTTTATCTGCTAAACTTGAATATTTCAACCTCAAATGTCAATTCAGGTTCTTCCATGATCCCAACATCTGATTCAAACATCCTAAAATGCTACTGATAAAATGAATCGATAATATAGAAACAAAGATGATAGGAGCAGAAGGCGGCTACTAGGCCCTTCGAGCCTGCTGTGCCATTCTTCACGATCATGGCTGATCACCCAACTCAATAGCCAAATCCTGCTTTCTCATGACCTTTGATCCCATTTGCCCCAAGGGCTATATCTAGTTTAGTCTAGTCTACAGAGAAAATCTAAAAAATTCAATAAAATGGATTATGAAGAAAAAATCTCAATATCATGGCTCATTTTTAAACATAGGTACAAAGAACCATAATTAATGTTCCTTCAGCCAATCCAATCTACCCCCAACCTGGGGAAGAAAAAAATCACTGAAATATGAAGTAAACTGTGCATTATTTGATGATTGGTATTGCACAACTCAGTTGGGTACTTGTGTGTTACACAGGTGGACCTCAAAGTTAGAATCTTAATGTATCATTCACTAAAGACAATTATTGAAGCAAAAGAAACTTAAAATTAATATAACAAAAATAAAAGAATATTGCCTAGTTTTAACGGCTGATAATTAAATTTTATAAAAGGTACTGCTGAGCTAAGCCAAGTTAACCTTGTGCCAAGTCACTTCAATTTTATTCTGGACAGTACACAAAATATTTAAAGACCTAATAATATATAGTCTTCCGGAAATGTACTACATTATCAATAGGCAGAAACCTTAAAATTCATAAATCCATAAAGCAAAAAAGTTATGAAAATGAAAAAGAAAGGCCCTGAAAAAAAAAATCTCTGAAAAGTTCCAGGAGGGATAAATTTCGACCCCTGGAATTCACTGGCATAAAGTCAAGGAGTTAACTGAGAGAATCAAAAGATTGGTGTGTGTGGAATGGATTTCAGTTCATGGGGCACCAGTACCAGTCATGGGGTAGAAGGGAGGTGTTCTATCGGGATGGGCTGAGATCAATATCTGGCAAATTGAATAACTAGGGCTCTGGATAGGGCTTTTAACTAATTGTGGTGGGGGCGCAGGGAAGAAAAGAGAGATCTTTACTTGAGTGTGCGTAGTATTTGGGTCAAAATAAACAAGTTAACAGCACAAACACACTTTAAGTGATATGATCTTACAGGCATTAGAGATATGGTTATAAGGAGTTCAAAACTAGGAACTAAATATTCAGGAGGTGTAACTTTTTGAAAGGTCAGGCAAGGAGGAGAGGATGGTGGGGTTGTATTCTTAGCACTGGATGGAATAAGTACAAAAGCAAGAAATAATCCCGGATAGAAAGACCTAGAATCCCTATGAGCAGAGTGAAGAAATTAAAAGGGAAAGAAAACACTGGCAGGAATAATCCATAGGCACTGTAACATTAACTGTACAGTGGGACAGATAAGGAGATCAGGAGATAATGAGGAAATGTAACAAAGCCAGTACATTGCTCATGAATGAATTCTATCTTCACGTGGATCGAGATAGATTGGCAAAGGAAATCAGAAGGAAGAACCTAATTTGGGACATTTTCCAGATCAATATGTTGTGGATCTGATGGTGTGTAATGAAGCAGGTTTAATAAATCATGCCAAAATAAAAGATCCCCCATGAAACAGTGAATAGTAGAATTCAGCATTCAGTTTGAGGGGGAAAGCAACTCGGCTCACAAACAAATGCACTAAACTTAAATAAGAATAATTACAAAGGAATGAGGGCAAAGCTGGCTGGAGTGGACCAAGAATGGACTTTAGCAGAAAAGATGGTTGAACAATGGCATACGTTTAAGAACATAGTTCATAGCTCACGGCAAAGATACATCTGAGTGAATGAGAAGACAACCATGGTTAACCAAGGTAAGTATAGCATCAGATTGAAGGAAAAAACATGAAATGTGGCAAAAGATTAGTGGTAAGCCAGAAGATTGGGAATGTTTTAAACACTGACAAAAGATAAGCAAAAATATAATACAGGTTGAAAATGAACGTTAAGGATAAAGTTTTAAGTAATATCAGGCCGGACAATGAGAATGGTTTTAAAAACATAAAACTAGATTGGAAAACTGCCAATGTAACACCTTTATACAAAAAAGGGAGGGAGACACATTGGGGAAATGTTCGAGTCTTTTATAAAGGGTGTAATAGCAGAGAATTTCAAAATACATAATAAATTCAAGCAAATTCAGCATGGCTTCATGAAGGAGAAATCATGCCCAACAAATTTACAAGAATTCTTTGACAAGGTAACATGCAAGACAGATAAAGGGGAAGCAGTGGATGCAATATATTTCAATTTTGGAACAATAGAACATAGAAACTGTACAGCGCAGGAAGAGGCCCTTCAGCCCAAATTGTTGTGCTGAACATGACACCAAATTAAACTAATCCCTTCTGACAGCCCTTGGTCCATACCCCTCCATTCTTTGCATATTCATG